TAGGAACAACAAAAATTATTTCCGTACTCCATGTATACCTTACAACAAAATTATGTTTATTAACCTGTGTACGTTATTTTATTTGGCGGCATTTTGTACACGGTCATATCTTGACTTACATCTAGAAATTGACAATGAGGGTCGGTTGAAAACAAAACTTTACGACAAAAGAGATGATTTCAGCTTCCTAATTGTGAACTTTCCATTTCTATGTAGCAACATTCCAGCAGCGCCTGCATACGGAGTATATATCTCCCAATTGATACGATATTCCCGGGTTTGTGTTTCCTATCATGATTTCCTTGATAGAGGATTGCTGCTCACAAGGAAGCTATTAAACCAAGAGTTCCAAATGGGGAAGTTGAAATCATCCCTTCGTAAATTTTACGGACGCCATCACGAGTTGGTTGACCGTTATGGAATAACCGTTTCACAGATGATATCGGATATGTTCCTTATGTCGTAACTACAATACCCTCCCTTTTCACGAATGTGACTTACCGAATCAGACTATTTACCGGATTTGTAATAACATAAGCAACACGACGGGTGCCACATGTGGAGCAGGGTCTGCTTACCCTTCCGGAGCACCTGAGATCACCCCCAGTTTTTGGTGGGGTTCGTGTTGCTTAGTCTTTGATTTTCTATGTTGTGTCATCTGTACTATTATTTGTCTGTTTGTCTTTTATTTTTGGCCATGGCGTTGCGAGTCAGTTTGTTTTCGATCTATGAGTTTGACTGTCCCTCTGGCATCTTTCGTCCCTCTTTTATTATTGTCTTTCTGATATTGTTTTTCAACCCTCTTGTTTTATTAATTTTGTATTTACATAGAGTCATAGATCAAATTTATTCGTTCAGAGTGACGGCGTGCACAAAATTGAAGGCCGCTTTCAAAAGTAGTTTTATACAACCGTGTTTAAAATATCTTTTAAATAGGATTTTTTTTGTGGTAAAATGATGAATGCTAGCCATTAAAATCCACATTAATAATAAGGTTATCAAAATTAAATCTATAAAGTATGAAACGAACATAGAGAAAACGGCAAAAATATGTGAAACTTGTAACATAAAAAAAGCATAAAATAGAGTTTTTGACCTAAAATTTATACAAATTCAACATATTTTCCGCATTTTCGTATAATAGAATTTTTCGGACTATGACGTCATACGAAATTCACCGCAAAAAAATTAAAAAACGGCCATGGTGGATGAGTTTGGAATGTAGTTCATTGTGTGTAAGAAGTAGTAATTTGGAAGGATTAATAATCGTAAATGGAAGAACCGGTAAGAAAAAATATTTAATTGCTATTTTTTTTATTTCAAAATAACTTGATGTTCCAAATGTGCATAACAAGAGGTTTAAAAAAATCTGCAAAATATGAATGATTCGATAGTCCAGGCTGAACACCTGAATTTTTTTTATGTCCAGCTATTATGTTACAATTTTAAAAAAAATGACGTTTTAACGCTATTTTCTGAATAGGGTCCACGATATAGTCGCTTATTATTTCCATTACACTGCTCTTAGCATATATTTATTTATATTTCCAGAATGTGCATATTACACCAGGGTTTTCGATATCATAAACTAGTCAAAAACATTTACTAAATTTTATCATCGGTATAAAGACATCATTCGTAAATATAACTCAACATGCAGATATCTTATACGTTCGGGTATTTCACATCCAATCTTTTATGGTAGTATTCTTTACAAAGCACAAAAATGTCAGTATTCACCTCAAAAGCTAACAAAACCTTTAAACAGGATATAGTTACGATACTGTTGTCAGGTCATTAAAGATTGCATATTTTGGCTTTAACATTAATTCACTTGTAGGGTCTTTGCATCTGAATTAAACACATTTTTTTCTAAAACCAGTTGTTGGCATGACACGGGTTATGTTCTTCTCATATATTTTTTGACGATATAATACTAAACCCCTAACAGGAGGGATTGTGCCTGATATTCATATAATGAAGACATAATCTTTTATTCAGTTTAATTGAGGTCTAGAGCTGGCATGTCAGTTACTGCTAGTAGTCTGTTGTTATTTATGTATTATTGTCATTTTGTTCATTTTCTTTTGTTTCCTATTCTGACATCGGACTCGGACTTCTCTTATACTGAGTTTTACTGTACGTACTGTTGTGTGTTTGTTTTTTTTCTACATTGGCTAGAGGTATAGGGGAGGGTTGAGATCTCAAAAAACATGTTTAACCCCGCCGCATTTTTGCGCCTGTCCCAAGTCAGGAGCCTCTGGCCTTTGTTAGTCTTGTATCATTTTTAATTTTAGTTTCCTGTGTATAATTTGGAGTTTAGTATGACGTCCATTATCACTGAACTAGTATACATATTTGTTTAGGGGCCAGGTGAAGGACGCCTTCGGGTGCGGGAGTTTCTCGCTACATTGAAGACCCATTGGTGGCCTTCGGCTGTTGTCTGCTCTGTGGTCGGGTTGTTGTCTCTTTGACACATTCCCCATTTCCATTCTCAATTTTATATGCTGCACTTTGTTGTTAAAAAACAAGAAATATGTTGAACGTTTATGTTTACAGCTATGTGATAAACTAAGTGTCCAGTGTTTTTGTTACACGTTTGTTTTCTGAGGAAAAATGCCGACGTCGTAAATGATTGAAGTAATTTGAAGACGTTATATACGTTTGTGGACTCAGCTTTATGCACGCCGTCTACATGTATGTTCACTTGTTTTTGTTAATATGTCTTTTGGTTGAGTTAAGCCAAAGACATATAATACAAACTGTGTTATATGTCTCTGTTTAAGTCATTTCAATTGATATTTTATAGTGTGTCTTTCTGTGTTGTGATGTTACACTATTGTTTCAGGTAGGGTGAAGGTTGGCGCCTATTAAAACGTTTAAATCCACTGCATTTGTTTGCACCTGTCCTAAGTCAGGAACCTGATGTTCAGTGGTAGTCGTTTGTTGATGTGGTTCATAAGTGTTTCTCGTTTCTCATTTTTGATATAGATAAGACCGTTGGTTTTCCTGTTTGAATGGTTTTACACGTCATTTTTGGACCCTTTATAGCTTGCTGTTCGGTGTGAGCCAGGCTCCGTGTTGAAGGCCGTACTTTGACCTATAATGGTTTACGTTTACAAATTGTGACTTGGATGGAGAGTTGTCTCATTGGCACACATACCACATCTTCTTATATCTATCATCATAGATACAAGGATTGAAATTTTGTACGCCAGACGCGCGTTTCGTCTGCAAACGACTCATCAATTTCATAAAAATCAGCCGCACTTTTGATTGGCTGAATGCAATCGCGGGTCATGCCAATATCAAATTGTATTTTTCAATAAAATCAAACATTCATAACAGCACGTGCTTCTCATGACAATTTCACAGCAATATTAAGATAGGGAAACAAACGAAACATTTGCTATAATTCATGGTTGTAGCATAAAAGTGTAATTATTAGAATTTAATGGATCGTCTTTTAGTAATTTTATAGGGTTGTAAAAGCGTTGATCGTGCGCACATTTTTAGTATCTGAAGGGCGGAAGCAAATGTGCTTCTATCAACACTTTTACACCCTAATAGAATTACAAAAGGAAGCATTCCAATCCTACATCAAGAATCAGATTGGTACATATGATTCATATCTTTTTGTCAAGCAGTTAAACTAACTATCTGGCACATGTGTTGAACAAAGGTAATTAAAACATAATATGCAGATTCTTCAAAAAAAAAAACTATGAACAAAATAGGCTTGGACCTAACGTAGGCAAGGTAATTGTCAGTGTAACAGTAGACACGCCTTATTAAAGTGGGTAAACAAATCCAAATATCAGTAAGATGTTGTCTTAAAGTCTTGAACTACATAGAAAAAGTAATGTCTACTCGCAGTTGCCTTGCCTATGTTAAACCCAGACATTGTTTGTCCAAACTATATCATATAAAAATAACTTGATACGGTAATTTGAAATCATTGTAACTTTTATCGAAATTGTATGCCTTTTATTCACTATTTCTGTATCTAACAAGATGGTTTAAACAGGTAATGGTAATTATATATATGTCATAAAAAAGTTCAAACATGTCATTCTATAGTAAGAAAAATTACATTTCTGATACATTCATGATGATATATGGGTTTTAAGGTACGGCTATCCTTGAGGATATTGCGGACTATCTTGCCTATTGTTACAGGGTTGGTTCTGCTTGTCCTTTGGCTTTCATTTTGCTCCAACTTTTGTGTTGTTGCTGGTACGGAGTGTCTGGCAGCTCATATTGCCTCTTTTGGTTTTATTTTGAAGGACAACGTATGCGGTGCATGGTGTGCGTAGTAGTTCAGGGTCGTCGATGTCGAACCCCTCATCGAAATCAATCCTACTACGTTTGCCTCTTTCTGTAGCCGAGGTGTGCTGTCCTTAATGTTTTGTTGTTGGGCAGTAGCGAGAACAACGGATGTTTGGTGTCCATCCACTGGGCGAAACGCTTATAGCGTTGCGTCTCCTGGTAGATGGTGGCTTGTTCTTGTTTTTCAGGGCCAGCTTAGGTTTCCTGGAGGATATGTCCGGTTCCATGGCCTTGATCCAGGTGAGCTGTACTGGAACTTGGTCAGAACTGGCGGAGAATTTCCATTCCGGCTCAGTTTTCCATCCAATTTCATGGTTGCAAGTAAGGCTTTCAATTCATTCGGCAGTTCCATAATGATTGTCCACGAAGTGATCGATTCTAAGTTCAACTCACGAATGATACGTTCATGTCATGTCAGTTATAAATATGGTTTAAATAGCTAATTTGAATTAAATAAACACCCTAGCAACAATTTCAGACATTTTTTTAGAATGCCAAAAAATTTCCGGGATTTACCAAATTCCTAAATCTGCTTCTGATTTCAAAAGATATCCGAATATTTCAGGGACTGACAATCTCCATGATTAAACTTATTTACTTAACATATACATGTCGTTAATAGCTACTAACAGGATTTGCGATTTGAGTTCGGTACTGTTGAAAGTGTTTTAGATAATACAGGTGGCGCTTTGTTTATGTAGCAACAAGATGGCGGAAACTGATTTTGAGATTTGATTGCAAATTCGATCAGAACATGTACCATAATGCCCTATGGAAATGTAAATATTCATTTAAAATTTAAATGATCACTCATGTATGTCAAATACGAATGAAAGGAAGAATCGCCGTGTATAAAAGCCTTAACAGGATTCTACACGTACCAATACAGATGAGATACATCAATCATACAGACAGATCAAATACATTTGAAATAGGGTATACGGCAACCCATACTTCACCCAAAACCACAACAGACACCTCAAATCTCAAATTCTAAATTGTTAACAAAAAATATTTTCCATAAAATATACGATGCTGGCCAGATTTGTAAGTCCTAATTTAACGTGAAACAGACTTGCTGGACAAAAGACAAGCCTTATAAATATACAACTAAACAATACTATTGCAAACATATAAATTCTGCAAAACCGACAAAACAAAAATTAATCCACCAGAATTGCATGACAAATTATGCACATCTTAAATAAACTGATAAAACACAGATAGCAAGAGTTTATAGTATTCAAGAATTGAATGCTTCTTTTAATAATGTAATTATGTGTAAAAGCATTGACCGAAGAACATTTTGTATGATGCACGGAAGTACTTTTTACTAAAAATGTGTGCAGTAATAGCAGTTGTATTTTATACGGATGTTAAATATGATATTATTGGAGTGTCTTGTAATTGTTGTCAACCACTGAACTAGTCAAAATTAAGAATTCTAATACACCAATCTTGAGTTGTTTTATATGAATGATTTTCACTGATTGACCAGATGTTAATCTGTGTAAACGACGTCATCAAACAAACGGTTCTTACTGTGACATAATAGCATTAGCATTTTGACATAGGAAATTTACAGGAAAGTGCATGTATTCATAAGTCGTCTCTAGATGAAACATACACATAATATAGTTATTCAAACGTAAAGAACAAAAACTTTAGTCAAGCAGTTTAAACACACATATGGAGTAAATAGCAAAAGTGATATGGAGTTTGCAACATAAAAAGCACTGAGGGATTACTTAAATAACTAAAATAAGCAAAAAATAACAAAAGCTCTATAAGTGGATATAAGTTTTTCATGCTGAAATCAAAGAATTATACTGGAACAGGAAATGGGATAAGCTGGTTTTGCAGTGAAACATTTGCATGAGGTAGCAAACCAAGAATCTATAGAATCTACAGAATTTTTCATTTGATTTAAAGATGATTGCTTAAGAATATCATTTGGCAGCTCATTCCAAAGTTTAGCATCTTTAAATGTACATTTAAGATTGTAGCCATCTGCTGTTGTTTTGACTTGTGGTAGTTCTGTTGTATTCTGGTTCCTAAAAGAGAAAGAGTTCCTTAATGTGAGTTAAATCATGAAGATAAGCAGGACATTTTTTATTCTCCACAGCGAAAAGGGATTTTCATTTTTCCCATCATGGCAAAATATCTCATCTGCTCATTTCTCCCTTTTACCCTTTTTATGTTCATAGTTTAATTTGAAAATAGTTCAAAGCAATACTCCTATAGATGTGGAAAAAAATATGTAAACAAGCATAAATTCACAGCCCCAAAACAAAAGTTCAACATGTATGTCTGTGACCACAAGTGTACTTACTTACTCATTTTCAGTTGATGAAAAACTCAAGTTCTTTTTCTTCAATATTTTTGTATACATGTAGGGAGAATACAGTTAAGTTTTGACAATTTTTGGAAGCCTTGAAGTTGTTTATTTCACAGCTTTGTTTGAATCAATCCAAAGATTAAAAAGATGTATTTTATCATAGTATATTTGTACAGTGAAATCAATAATCTAATTGCTATACATTGTACAATCATAATTGCTAAACAATCATGATTGCTAAACATACACCCTAAGGGGACACATGTCACCCAATACTTATAGAGATGAAAAGGCTAATTAATGCAAAATAAACAATTCTGTGTTATAATCTAAATAATTACTTATTACTTAGTGATGTCTATGTAAGATTGCTAAAATTCAACACTAAAAGTAGGAATGAACTTTTCCTTTATTTATAATTGATTGTTTATTTCAAATATTACTTGTAGTAATAAATATAAAAAAAATGAAGGCTTTGATTTGGTCCATGTTAACAGTTTGACCAATAAATACAGAATGACAATTTAATAATTTTGCATGTTTTAGGAGAAATCTCTACAAATCTTATAGAGAAAACTTGGAATATAAGTCTATGTCATGTGTGCTTATGTATGTCTACAGAGTTGTTGGACCAATACATTCTCAAATGTATACACTTTAGAATAAGAGTCTAAAAACAAGTGAGCTTATAAATTAAAATATTATGTCTTATCTATATTTATGATGTATTGCATTTGTTACTGATTACTGAATCCTCTTAAAAATTCAAACCATTATTTCATATTACCCAGTATTGCTATTAAAACCTGGGTTGTCCCAGTGGGCTGGGCAATACTCATAAATCCCTGGTTTTTTTTGCCAGCCTGTTTTGGATGTACATAAGGCCAACACCATTGGTATAGTTATTCTGATTTGATGATGTGGTTTCCCTAGCTTAGATTATTTTATATGATAGGGGTGCTGGCTCTATGCACAACAACCCTTCTTTCCCATACAGACTAAGGACCTGTCATTGTGGAGTTATGACCACAAGTGTTACATATTCATTTAATACTGTACCATTTTTTATCCTTTTCAGATGTAAGAATGAGTAGAAAGAAAATATAAAGAAAGACCTTAAAAGTTCAGGACAAATTTATTTGCAAACATGCCACCAAGAGGAAAAGGAGGTGGGGACATTGTACTGGATAATGATGTCAGCTTTCCACTTGAGCGTCTTTTTGACCACAGAAATTTGGACCATCTTCCTCGGGAAAATCGTTTGGATCAGTTTGAAAGAAGAGACCTGGCCCATGTCAAGCATTATAAAGCTGCAGTTAAGATATTTGGGGGTCCCCTTAGTAGGAAGAGAGTTATTCAGGCCCCTCCTATGGAAACACCCATGAAACACAGACTTGGAGTTTATTTAAACCAAAAAGAACCCCCTCCACCCATAAAGTTGTGTTCAGAAATGAAATCAAAACCATTTAAAATAGATGAAGATGCTGATGCCATTGCAGCTGGGAAAAAGGCAGTTGCCGAAGAGGACTCATATAAGAAATGGATTGCAGATCGTCAAAAATTTAGACATGATTTAGACAATATGGGACTAAATGCAGAATGGCTGAGAAGGAAAACAAATAAAACTGAATTAGAAAAACGAGTCTATAGAAAAATGGTAGAAGAAGCAAAACCTAAGCCAATCATTCCAGAACCAGTTATTGAAAAAGTTTTGGAAGCTATGATCTCTATTGTTCCCTCAGTGAAGATTCCATCACCATTAGGTGTGAGAATTCTAGAACAACATTTACGTAAAAATCAGATACGTCTCATAGACCTGTTTGTAATGGTTGATAGAGATAAGAACTGGAGAATTTCCAGAGAAGACTTTAAGCAGGCCATAAGAGAGGTAATTAAATGAACCATATTTACATTTAATGTTGATGATTCCAGGTGCATTTAGGATCATTTAAAAGTCTGCAATAAAAGAAAATCACAATTATGGTTCATGTATTTCATAATGTGCAAATATTACGTATTATGAATTAAAAGAAATAATATCAATGATTGCTTATACCTTTATTAGACAATACAAATGATCAGGATATTGTCGAATTTAAACAGCAATCATGTGTTATCTCATTGAAACAGAGATCAAAATAAAGGATAAGAATGATAATGAATAAAGTTAATTTTGGTACAGAAATGGTGAATTATGCATTTGGTATGACATACCATTTAAAATATACTACAATATATAGAATAGGGATTTTGACTATGTGACATTATATCTCCATGGATGAAAAATTAACCATGTAGGAACTATTTTGATAAACATCATATTTCTGCTTTTTTTTTGTTTTTTATTTTGTCAGGGATCACCACAGAATTTATTTTAAGGGTGGTGTTCACGAAAAAAAAATTATATTGAAATTACAATCAAACAAGATCTTTATTGTAGATCGTAATCTGTTTATTAGGAAAAAGATAAACAAATTAAAGCCATTGTAAACAAAATTGTAATCAAGGCATGAATTTATACTTTTGAAGTAAAAATTGTCAAAATTTTACCTTTTCATCACATTTTTCAAAAATTCAAGGGTGGTGCTGAGAAATTCAATATTGGTGCTGGAGATTTAAGAGTGGAGCTGAAAATTTAAGGATGGAGGAGCTCAACCCTTAAATAGCCTGTGGTGATCCCTGTTTGTTGTTTTTGTTTTTTTTCTATTTTGGTATTGTCTTTAGTATAAATTTACTCCATGTATCACCTTAAGCATTGTATGTTAAATTATTATGTTTCCTTCTCTGTACCTTTGTTAATTGGTTTTAGAGAATGAAGAAGCTATCTACATGTATCTTACTTTCACCAGAACAAAACCTGTGCATCTTAGTTGAAATTACTTCATTCGATTCCTCCATTTTGTTGCAGCAAATCACTGAATAGTAGATATACTGAAATATTTTTTCTTAAACATGTATTAATTTCATCATTATAGAATAACCAATATTATGATTAATTGTCATTTTTACAATTCCAATATCAAACCTGGCCTCTCTTATATTTAGTTTTCCTGGTAACATCAAAGATTTTTCCTGTCAGAGGGTCCCTGGCTTGCTACATCTTTGTACCATCAAGAGATTGCTCAACACCTGCAACAATCAGTTTCTGACATTATTTCTTACTCTTTTTTTGTTACTCTTTGAACATTGAATACAATTTGAACCAATGATAGGGACAAATTTTTCCCTCTGTTATGGTCATTTTGTAATTTCATTCCAGATTTTTGAAAGAATGTTGCTGAAAATTAAAAAAATCAGCTGGTTTTCAAACAATATAGTACCATAGCTTGTAAACTATTAATGAGATATATGCATTATATATGTTATTTTTTCAGTCAAAAGTGACAATGTCCGAGTCTCTTCTAGAAGATATGATTCTTTCTCTCGATAGTAACTTTGACAATTATTTAGACTACAAGGAACTTGCAGAAGGACTAAAAATGTGGCGAAAGGAAAGAAGAGAAAATAAAAGAAAGGCATTATCAAGGGAGTCTACTGACTTATCACAGAAATCTTCAACAAGTAATTATTAGATATACTGAACATGGGGTTTAATAGCTGCTTAGAAAATATTGGTTTTTCTACATAATTTGGTCTTAATGTATTAGCAACTGAAAATGTGTAAGTTGTTAAGACTTTTAATGTTGTGTTCACTTCTTTCCTAAGACCTTTAATTAACAATTATTAGTATCTCTTGAAAAAAATGAATTGGCAGTTGTTATTTCATTTTAGCCTCATTTTATGTGGCTAACCAATACTGTTGTGCTTAAGTTGATAAACTAGCTAGATTAATGTAAAACACAAATATGTACAAACACTCACACACACTCACACATATATTCACCATGTGCAGGGTTTAAGCTAGGATTTTGAGGGCTTTAATCACTTTTGCGGGAGATGAAAATCAACCTTACAAATGTATTTTGGGTAACAGCAAGGGACCAAGGATGTATATTACTAGCTATACATCTTTGTCAGACTTTGAAGAACTATTAAAGCATTTACTAGGCAGTTATTGCATGATTTGACTGATATGGCACTTAAATATGAAGATTAGGATATAAAATCAGGAAATCTAGTTCACAATTTCACTTCAGTTAGTTTCAGGGGACATTCCTGATCAACAGAAGTTGGGTTTCATTTTTTTTAAAACCAGGCATCTAAGGCATGAGTATATGAACTTGTAGTTGTAAGACTATTTCACTGCATAATCATTATCCTTATAAAAAAGTTTAAATCGATATTTGGAATTCATTTCTATAAAGTTGGAACCAAGGATTTATACAAATCCTTATTGGAACGATTCTAATAACTGTAAATTGTAAATTAATCAAGAATTGATCACATTTACTTTCGATTTTCAAATGAAATGAAAACGGGATGTGACAAGGCGATAATAAACTCAGAATGAATCCGGATTCATCTACAGATTGGTTCATGTTTAAAAAAGGCTGGAAATTATCATTTTTTAAATTAAATTTGCTAAGGAAGAACTATATTTGTCTCTCTTGTTTAATTTGATACTAAGTATTTCGTATTTTACGTTTTAGTGTCTATAAATTCATAGGAATACTTTCGAGCATGTGCAGTATATCGTAAAGGAAGCACCTGTTTGACTCATGAAAACATTTTTGAACGTTTTGAATGAAGTTCTATCTTTTTAATCGAAATTGTCGAAAGTTTTAGATGAAAAGTTATATCAAATATGACAAAAATACTTTCATTTGACAAAACTATGACAAACGAACTGCAAATTGTGATCGTTTGAGAAATATTGAAATTAAAAAGGGAACTGTCCGGGGGAAAACAATTTTGTTCAAAATACGAAACTACGACAAGCGAACTGCAAATTGTGGTCGTTTGCCTTGAAAAATATTGAAATTGAAATGCCGACTGACTGATTCTACTGGGGAAAATGATTGTGATGGTCAATTATTGTGTTTCTTAATAATTAATGGATTAGTGACCCATCTGATGGCGATAAGCGGGTTACCTGTAATCACAACTTGAAACACCTGTTGTAAATGTTAATTAGCTGAGAGTCATAAACTTGTCAGAGACATAAAGACAGGTAAAATTATAGTATTTTCATGCAAAAATATTTTTACACTTTCCAAATATAAGTGACGAAATTGGTTTGAAATACTTTCGTCATTACGAAAACCGTTTTTTAAATGACGAAAATGACGAGCGCTAGCAAAATCTCTGCTAGAAGACAATCAATTAAGAATGAATTTCGGATTCATCTACGGATTGGTTCGTGTTTAAAAAAGGCAGGAAATTATCATTTTTTAAATTAAATTTGCAAGTAAGAACTATATTTGTCTCTCTTGTTTAATTTGATACTAATTATTTTCGTATTTTACGTTTTAGTGTCTATAAATTCATAGGAATACTTTCATGCATGCGCAGTATATAGTAAAGGAAGCACCTGTTTGACTCATGAAAACATTTCTGAATGTTTTGAATAAAGTTCTATCTTTTTAATCGAAATTGTCGAAGGTTTTTGATGAAAGGTTATATCAAATATGACGAAAATACGTTCATTTGACAAAACTTCAACAAACTAACTGCAAATTGTTGTCGTTTGCCTTGAGAAATATTGAAATTGAAATGCCGACTGACTGATTTTACTGGGGAAATGATTGTGATGGTCAATTATTGTGTTTCTTAATAATTAATGGATTAGTGACCCATCTGATGGCGATAAGCGGGTTACCTGTAATCACAGCTTGAAACACCTGTTGTAAATTTTAATTAGCTGAGGGTCATAAACTTATCAGAGACATAAAGACAAGGTAAAATTATAGATTTTTCATGTGAAGATATTTTTACACTTTCCAAATTTAAGTGACGAAATTGATTTGAAATACTTTCGTCATTTTGAAAACCATTTTGTAAATGACTAAAATGACGAGCGCTAGCAAAATCTCTGCTAGAAGATAATAAATTCAGAATGAATCCGGATTCATCTAAGGATTGGTTGGTGTTTAAAAAAGGCAGGAAATTATCATTTTTGTCTCGCCTTGACAGAGTCAAAAAGCAAGACATAGGTATGCTGTTTCCGGCAGCGACGGCAGCGTCAACAATGTATTAGTTTGTGATTAGGACTAGTTCATGGTGAACCACTAATGGTAGGTCAATGATATTTGGTATGCAGTTGTATTAGCATTGGCACATCTCATTACCATGGAGATTATTTGGCCCTGCCCCCTCAGTCAAGGTCTATTGACTTTGAAACTTTGCTTAGTTTACATGTATTAGTTTGTGATTAGGTCAGTTTATGGGGAACCACTAGTGGTAGGTCAATGATTTATGATATGCAGTTGTATTAGCATTGGCACACCTCATTACCATTGAGATTATTTGGCCCCGCCCCCTCAGTCAAGGTCTATTGACTTTGAAACTTTGCTTAGTTTACATGTATTAGTTTGTGATTAGGTCAGTTTATGGGGAACCACTAGTGGAAGGTCAATGATATTTGGTATGCAATTGAATAAACATTGGCATATCTCATATCCATGGAGATTATTTGGCCCCGCCCCCTCATTCATGGTCTATTGAATTTGAAACTTTTGCTTAGTTTTCATGTATTAGTTTGTGATTAGGTCAGTTTAAGGGGAACTGTTATTGGTAGGTCAATGATAATTGGTATGCAGTTGTATAAGCATTAGCACATCTCATTTCCATGGAGAATATTTGGTCCTTACCCCTCAGTCATGGTCTATTGACTTTGAAACTTTTGCTTAGTTTGTGATTAGGTCAGTTTAAGATGAACCACAAATGTTAAGTCAATGATAATTGGTATGCAGTTGTATAAGCATTAGCACATCTCATTTCCATGGAGAATATTTGGTCCTTACCCCTCAGTCATGGTCTATTGACTTTGAAACTTTTGCTTAGTTTGTGATTAGGTCAGTTTAAGATGAACCACAAATGTTAAGTCAATGATATTTGGTATGCAAATGTATTGGCATTTGCAAGTTTCATTTCCATGGAGATTATATAACCCCACCCCCTAATTATGGTTCATTGACTTTGAAACTTTTACATAGTTTACAAGTTAACGTTTGTGTTTAGGTTTGTTTAAAGGGAATGACTTATAAAAAGTCAATGATATTTGGTTTGCAGTTGTATTAGCATTCCATGGAGATTGTTTAGCCCTGTACCTTCAGTCATGGTTCATTGACTTTGAATATTTGCATAACTTACATGTTAAAGTATTGCTATTTTAATTTCAACATTTGCATTATCAAAATAACAAATAGGCGAGACATATCTCTGTGTTAACAGTTTATTTAAATAAAATTTGCTAAGTAAGAACTATTTTTGTCTCTTGTTTAATTTGATACTAATTATTTCGTATTTTCTTTTAGTGTCTATAAATTCATAGGAATACTTTCACGCATGGTCCATGTGGCAGATAAAACACATTTAGTGATCAAGACAATTTTTTTATTCCAAACTAAAAAGGTCAAAATAATAATGAGAGAACAAAAGAAGAAAAATTTACCGGTTCTGATTTTTGTTGATAGAATGTAGGGTAAGCAGCAAAATGCAATAACCTTTAATTTGAGAGAATTATAATTGCTGTAAAGAAAATCTGTGTAGGCAAAATGATGGCAAAAAATGCCATTTTGCAAGAGAGGTGATAACTAATATGTGTTTTTTGTTTAACATTTGTAATATTGTCAAAAATATGAAATATACTTAATAATTACATACTTATAATTTAATAGTTTCTGCTACACCCCAGTCGTTGGAAGAACTGTACGATGAGCCAGATTATCTTGAACTTATGAAAGAAGGGAAGATGACATCTACTTTATCAAGACAACACGATACTAGTGAGGAAGACATTTATGGGGACCCTGAATTGGCAAAGAATAAGGAATCGCCAAAATCATCCAAAGGCTCTCTTCGAGGATCTGCTAAAGGGCGGATAGGTTCAGGAATGAGTAAGACATCTGCCAAATCTTCTCGGAAGTCTGTTGGCATTGACAGAGAACCATCAGAAGAAAATATAGTCATTGGTCAAGGTGAAGGTGATTTGAAGGATAGTGCTGAGTCAGAGGTTAAAGTTCGCATTGGTTCTGCTAAAAGAAGTGCTAGTAGAATAAGTGGAAGTAGCAGGGCTTCTACACCACAATATCTAGAGGTTCCTGAACAGGATCTCAAACCTGATAGAATGATTTTATCTTCAGAGGAGGCTATGGTAGACCTGAGAAAGAGGGACAGAGAGGCATTAAAGAACTCTACCAGACAGGGTGTAAGTTATTCTCCACAATTACAATTATGCATTGTCATTCAATCAGTGCCGAAGAAAATTAGCTATTTTCAGTACAAACAACAAGACTAGTACTGATTCAAAAGAATGGGCATAGAAATATAATAAATAATTTAAAATGAAGAAAAATAAGATGCTCCTCTGTATTGAAAACACTGATATAGTGTAATGTACAGACTTTGAATGTGCACAGAAATTCAATACAGCAGTGTTTTCATTGTCCAACAAAAATGCTCTTTTGGGGTAATTGATTAATTATTTTAATCAGGCTTTATTCACATTGGCTAGCTAGAATGTCTGTCAATCAAATACTGACAAGAAACACAAGTATGCAAAAGTGCAATCTAGCTTTGTTTCTCTTTATTCAGAATATTAACTTTAATTCTATTTTTCCTAGTCACCTAAAGTAAAGTTACCTGCACCAGGTGTAATCAAGGTGGGAGACAAAGCTATAGATGACCATTCAATGAGATCAACATTGAAAGGAGAAACAGCAGACATGGTTAATAAGTTTAGAGAACTTAAGCTTAGAGAGTATTGTGATATAACCAAGCTCTGTAAATTAAATGGAATAATTCTAAGTGAAAGACTTCTAGAAAAAGGTAAGTGCTTATATGCTGATATTAGTGACTTTTTCCTAGTGCATAAGACAGTACATGTATTTACACATAACGGTTGTTCAGAAGAACAAAAAAAAAATTGAGTTGTCTCTCTTTTTACAAAACAGTTTTATTCAGATCTAATGTATGAAGGAATAGGGGCATTAAACTCTGTTTTTTGGCACACAAAAATTAAGTTTATGAGAACTACTTCAAATTTGAAGCAGAAAATTGTTGAATTTTAATAAATGGTTTTTGTTTCAGTTTTACTCTACCCACCTGATAGACCTCATCATGAAATTCACCGAAATGTGAAAACCCCTGCTGATCCTTTACTATCCAGTCACTATGCTGAACCAAAAAAGAGGCCAAGGACACCTATAGAGGTGAAACACAAGGATAAGGTCAAGAGGTCAAAGAGTGGTAAACTTATGTTTGACAGTAGACATAGATATCCACAGAAATCCAATGTTGCTTCTTCAGGAACCAAAGAAAATCTATCTACAGGCAGAGCGGTTATCAGAAGCAAAGTCGATTGTTGGATGACGTTTGAAGAGTATGAAAGATTAACAAGGTGTTTAAAAGAAACCTTATGTACATTTATATCTTTTATCTACACAGTAGAATTTTGTTGTCTGGAAATTTGTAGTGTCACTGTCGGGGCTAACTCAACTATCGTTATACAGAAAGAACACAACCATACAGTTTAACGTTTACTTCATATATATTCGAGCTGCTAAGGCTACGTCCCGCATTGACGTCAACCCTAGATACAAATAGGTAAAACGCGACGTCTTAACTCCCGCGGTATTCTCAACATTCTCCGGGCCGCTAAAGGTAAATATTAAAATTAAATTACAATAAAGTAAAAATGAATTAAAATTACTGTCTCTCAAATTCAAAACTTAAACTTAATAACTTTAGCACAGTCACTAACTTCCAGATTAGTTATCTTTTAGTTAAATCACAATGAGTCTATTACGTACACAGATAACAGTGTCTATATTTTCCGCGCACCTGTTCACATAGTCAATGCAATTTTATCATATAATCTGTTTTTGCAATTAGTCAATTAAAATCAAGCATATTTGTAAAAGTCCATAATAAATCAGAACTGTTCATCGGTTACGCATTATTTAGTCCATTTTTTAATATTTTCCCTGGCTCTTCTGGCTGCTTCTCGGTTTGGCAATATCCGGCTTGTTGTCGCACTTGGTTCCTCCTTCTGTCGAGCTTCTTCGTCCTTTGATGTTTCGATGTCTGTACAAAGTTCAAGAGGATACAACTTGACGATCGGACGTGATGTAGTTCCAGTTTTGGTTCGAATAATAGCGGAACGAACTAGTCCATCATTTCCTTTAGTTAGGTTTTCCACAATCCCGGTTTTCCACATTATTCTTCGGTTTTCGTCATGAATCTGAACAATATCGCCTATTCTGATTATCGTGGAATTGCTTCCCGTTTTCTTGTGGAATTCACGCAATGACGTTAAATATTCGGTTTTCCATCGGTTCCAGAATTGTTGTAAGAGTAATGATTGTCTTTGAACACGTTTGATAAAACTTGTTTTGCTCATAAATGTCTCATTAAACATGTCAATTTCACGAGTATCCATGTACGGTAATGTATTTATCCTACGTCCATAAAGAAGATGAGCTGGAGTAAGTGGTTCAAGATCCTCGGGGTCTGAAGAAACATATGTTAATGGTCGATCATTTAAGACGGATTCTATCTCTGTAACAATTGTCTGAAGAATCTCTAAATTTACAAGTGATTTTCCTAGGACTTTTTTTAAATTCGTTTTCGTCATTCCAATAAGACGCTCCCACCATCCACCAAACCATGGAGCACGTTTAGGGATGAAAAACCAGTCGATTCCTTGTGCTGATAATGTTTCTTTTAACTTTTTTGAATTACAAAGTTGTTTGATGTCTTCTGAAGCGGATACAAAAGTAGAACCATTGTCGGTCATAACAACTTTCGGTAAAGATTTTCTGCTTGAAAAGCGCCGAAAAGCTTGTAAAAACGTTTCTTCTGACAAATTTGTAACGACTTCAAGATGTATCGCTCTCGTAGAGGCGCAAGTGAATAAACATATGTAGACTTTCTTTATGACATTATCGTTATCTTTTACTTGTAATGCGCCTGTGAAATCTATCCCTGTAGCTGTAAAAGGGTCAGCTTCTTGAAGACGAATCTTAGGCAGTGGCGGTGGATCCGGTGCTACATATGGTAGTCCAACCACCTTTCTACAAGTAACACATTTCCTGAGTGTTTTCCGAACAAACTGTCGGATTGCAGGTATCCAAAAACTTTGTCTCAAATGTACGATAGTGGCATTTACTCCGGAATGACAAATTCTTTCATGGGCATCTAATACAATAAGTTTAGAAATTGTATGATCGTTAGGTAAGATATACGGAAATTTTGTGGACTCCGATAAGGGCGCATTCTGAATTCTTCCTCCACATCTGATGATGCTCCTGTCGTCAAGAAATAACCTTAATTGTCTGATTCTCGGTAAACTGTACCGTGTTCTACTGTTATACTTCAATGCGTTATATTCCGTAGCAAAAGCCGTCTCCTGACAATTTCGAATCCATACCTCAACCGATTTGGATAGTTCACTTGGTTTTAAATGTTCTAGTGTCCTTAAAGTCTTTTCAATTCTACAGTTTTCTATAAACCGTAGTACATATGACGTGATACGTAACAGTTTCTGGTACGACGAATATCGTTCAATATCAATAATAAAGTTAATTCCAAGTTGACAAATCGAATCGTCCTTTGGTTGGCTAATACATGTATTGTCATTTTCTGTTAACAAAACGGATAAAGACGTGTCGATTGATGTTGATTTTGGGTAAGTTGAACGGTCTGTTAACCAATGCGGACCTTTAATCCATAATGTGCTGTTTGTGTATTGCTCGGTCGTTATCCCTCGTGTTACTAGATCAGCTGGGTTATCGCTTGTAGGACAATACTTCCATTCCCATGATTTTGTCAATTCGTTTATTTCATTCACGCGATTTTGTATGAAACGTTTTAATGTCTTTGTTGACTTAAGCCAGTGTAAAACGATCTGGCTATCCGACCAAAAAGTGATGTTTTCGCACTCCATCGTTGATTGAAGGTGTTTAGCTAAGCGTGCTCCGATTACGGCTGCCATTAACTCAAGTTGTGGGAGTGTAATTTCCTTTAATGGTGCTACTCGTGACTTTGCCATTACAAGTGCTGTCTCATGTCCGTTACATATATATCCTACCGCACCATATGCCTTTGTACTTGCGTCAACAAATATGTGAAGACTGTGATTTGTTGATCCTGTAGTCTCAGAGAAGTAATATCGAGGAAATACTGTTTGTGTTGCGGTCTCAATATTATCGCGTATACTGATCCATTGGTTACATAGGTCCCCTTCTATTAAACTGTCCCATTTTAGTCCAAGTTTCCATATTTCTTGCAATAAAATTTTAGCCGTAATTGTAACTGGACTCAGTAATCCTAGCGGATCGTAAATTCCTGACGAATATCTCAATATTTCTCGTTTAGTTACACGTATTGTCGTAATTTCTTCCTTGTGTGGATAGAAAAGATAATCTGTGTGGCTATTCCATCTCATTCCCAATACTTTCGTGTCTGTGTCCGTGTCTAAAACATTCTGAGATACTGCTTGTTGTCGTACCTTTTCGCTGTTCGAATTCCAAGACCTCAGATTAAATCCTGCCTTAATCATCATTTTTCTTGCTTGCTCAAAGAAGTTTAAAGCGTCATGCTCTCTGTTTATGCTAGTCAAAATGTTATCCACATATAAATCCCGTTGAAGCATTCTTGCGGTATTACTGTTGGTTTGCTGCAAATGTTTTAATAGGGTGGCGCTCAAGATAAATGGTGAGCAAGTTGCTCCGAATAATATTACCTTAAATCTATATGTCATTAACGGACTGGTTACATCTGAAGGGTTACTTAACCATAGAAATCGGGTTACATCTCGGTCGTCTTTGTTGAGTCCTACATGTAAAAATGCCTTCTCAATATCGGTAGTGATAGCATAACGATGAAGTCGAAATCTTACCAAGATCTTGGATAAGTCATTTAACTCTGGGGGAGTGCTCATTAGGCAATCATTAAGACTAGGTTGATTTTGATACATCTTACAACTGCAGTCATACACTATGCGTATTGGTGTTGTACTGGAATCTTTCTTGACAACGGCATGGTGTGGTATATAATGTACTTTGTTAATTGTCGGTTCTGATTCATCAACCCTCTCGATAAATCCGCGACGTTCCTGTTCCTTTATTATATCTCCGTATTTCTTTAGCATGGTCTCATCTTTGCCTATTCTTCTGATAACGTTCTCCGTTCTCCTTTTGGCTATATCATAATTTGACGGTAATTCTTCGTAATCTTGTTTCCATGGTAATTTCGCCGAATACCTATCTCCGAGAAATTCAATTGATGAATCTTGATAGTCTTTCAAATAATTTGTCTCCTTCTCATGATTTTCGGATGAATCTATGCCTATCGATTCAAGTTTCCAGAACGATTCCAAGTTAAATTCTTCTGATTTGTGCGAAACTAGTACGTTAAAGATGCCAGCTGTCGTAGACGAATGTGCTCTACCTGATTGTAAGGGTCCTGATAGCAAATACCCAAGCTTTGATCTTACCGCGGTCGGTCCATCTCCTCGTATAACCTCGTCTTCAATAAAATCCCAATAATAGTCGGCACCAATAAGTAAAGAAATTTCAAAAGAATCTTCTTTAGTAACTGTATGAGCGAGTCTCAATCCTTTCAGATAATTCATATCTCGTTTAACGTAGCGCATGTGATTCTGAAGTGGGACTGCTATGGTAGGTACAATTAGAACTTCAATTGGAAATTTACGCCTATTCTCTGTTTCAATGTGTATGGTGGATTTACGTAGTTCTCTCGTGCTGGTGTTATCCTTCCCAAATGCTGATAGATGTACAATTTCAACTCCTTCAGTTTTCAAATTCAATTTTTTCGCTAGATCATCAGTTAAAAAAGATCTTTGTGCACCTTCATCAAATAAAATATTAGTATCCATACACATACTACCTGACCATACAGGAGCTACAGCAGTCTTCAATAGCACATTTGTGCGCATCTGTGTCGAAGAATGTAAAATTTTCGTATCTTCCTTATTTTCAGTATTATTAATGATATTGACAGATGTAGATTGATTATGATTTTGATTGTTCTGTTTCTCTGGGTTGCTTACAGTTTCCCTGTTACCATGGTTACCTACATTACACAAGCTGGAATGGTGTCTCTTGTTACAGTGTCTACACGTTCTTTTTGATTTACACTCATTGGCATGATGATTCCCTAAACAATTAAAGCATAAATTGTCTCGTTTAACTATAGATATGCGGGCTTTAGGGTCACTAACCTTGGTACAGTATGTTGGCGCATGTATGTCTTTACAAAAAATACATGGTCTCTCCTTAATATTCCGGGGCTGGCCTTTCTTCGCGTTGTGTGCTATGTGTCCTTGTGGTGAATTATTTCCTGTGTGAAATGTACTTATAGATGTGTTTGCAAACTGGTGGTCTATAGAATCAAGATAAGTGCCCGTATTTTGTCCTGCCTCCATGATTTGAATTTCGTTAAGTATACTCTTCCTCAAATCTTTCAAATTCCAACTGGACGGTCCGTGTTCTCTGGCTAAGTGTTGTCTGATTTCACTGGGTAACTTTCTCATGATAATCGGTACCAGTAAAGTTCCATATGACGTCTCAGGTTGTCAAAGCGAATCTAAACCTCTTACGTAGGCTTCACATCGGTCATAAAATAATCTTAAGCTTGTTAAGGTGTATCGTGGTTGGGCAATATCTACAAGAGCTTGTAAGTAGGCTTCCGTAATTCTGTGTGTTTGTCCGAACCGTTCCTTGAGTACATTTATAGCCTCCATGTAATTACCATTTGTAAGCGCAAATCCAGTTATCGTATTTAATGCCTCGCTTTCAAGTTGCGATTTCAGATAATTAAATTTCTCAATGTTTGTCAAAGTAGGATTAAAATGTACAGCAGATTCGTACGAGTCCCAAAACGTTTGCCAATCTAAAATGTTGCCATTAAACTTCGGTAGTGATAACTTGGGTAAACGATGGTTACTAGTACTAGCTATATTTTGTGGAGCAATATGACCTGTATCAGAGCCATTGTAGCTTGTCTGTGGTTGAGCGGCGGATGAAGCATAGAATGGTGTTGCGTTTTGAAAGTTATCAACATTTGCCGGGCGGAAAGGAGGGCTTTCTACATTGAGTACTTGATATGAAGATTGTGTTACATTGGAACTTGGTGTACGGTTTTGACCAATTTGTATAAAATTACGAAAATGTCTAAGTTTAGTGTCTAAATTATTTGAATACTCATCTGTATCTACTATTTCACTTTCAACGTTGTCTGAATCCGTTGCTTCCAATATCTGTTCGTTCAGTTTTTCCAACAATTTCTTCTTTTGCGTAAGATTATCGTACGTTGCAAGTAGTTCATCTCTGTCGAAGTCCGTGTTTTCCTTCGCCTCCTCGAATTTTCGGAAAAGTCTCGTCACTGCACTTCTATTTCCAGTCCTAATATTCTTTAACTTCTCCATCGATGTAATCCTTTGGTTACGGCACCATAAATGTCGGGGCTAACTCAACTATCGTTATACAGAAAGAACACAACCATACAGTTTAACGTTTACTTCATATATATTCGAGCTGCTAAGGCTACGTCCCGCATTGACGTCAACCCTAGATACAATAGGTAAAACGCGACGTCTTAACTCCCGCGGTATTCTCAACAGTCACAAACTCTGATCAGGCAAGATTTTTTTTGTCAGTCCCTAGGCCAAGATGTAAATGCTCATTTAGAACACATCTTGGGTCACCATATAATTTGTATATTTAAAAATAATGCTTATTTATGCATCTATGGAAAAATAAGGAGATGTGTTATGATTGCCAATGAGACAGCGATCAACTTATGACCAAATAACAAGGATTTGAACAACTACAGGTCAATTTAGGGCCTAGTTCGCAATATTTAGTCAATAAAATTAAAGGCACTATGATTTTGTAATATGGTATAGATCCTTTGAACACATTGAAATTTGAATTTTCTTACCTTAATACGCATCCCCTCTACCAACTACATGTTTTGGGTAAAAAATGTGTATAATACACAACCAAATACAGTAGTGATTATTGCCGAGCCAGCGACTTTTGTCGCAGAAAGCTCGACATAGGGATAGTGATCCGGCGGCGACGGTGGCGTTAGCTAGCTTCTTAAAAGCTTTATATTTTAGAAGCTAGAAGACCTGGATGCTTCATACTTTGTATATAGATGCCTTATGTTACAAAGTTTCCGTCTGTCATATATCCATTGTCCTTGACCTTATTTTCATGGTTCAGTGACTACTTGAAAAAAAAGTCAACATTTTTTGTAATGTTAATTTCTTTCTTATTATGAGTAATAGGATAACTATATTTAGTATATGCGTACCTTGCAAGGTCCTCATGCCCGTCAGACAATTTTCATTTGACCTCGACTTCATTTCATGGATTAGTGAACAAGGTTAAGTTTTCGTGGTCAAGTCCATATATCAGATACTATAAGCAGTAGGTCTACTATATTTGGTATATGGAATGATTGTAAGGTGTACATGTTCAACTGGTAGGTGTCATCTGACCTTGACCTCATGTTCATGGTTCAGTGGTCAAAGTTAAGTTTTTGAGTTTTGGTCTTTTTTTCTAATACTATATGCAATAGGTCAACTATATTTGGTGTATGGAAATATTTTATGATGTACATGTCAGTCTCCCAGGTTTTATTTGACCTTGACCTCATTTTCACGGTTCATTTCTCAGTGTTAAGTGTTTGTGTTTTGGTCTGTTTTTCATCAACTATAAGCAATAGATCAACTATATTTGTTGTATGGAAGGATTGTAAGGTGTAAATGTCTGTCTGGCCGGTATCATCTGACCTTGACCTCATTTTCATGGTTCATTGGTCAATGTTAAGTTTTCATGGTTAAGTTTGTTTCTTAGATACTATAAGCAATAGGTCAACTATATATTTAATGCATAAATTGATTGTAAGGTGTACATGTCTGTCTGGCATGGTTCATCTGACCTTGACCTCATTTTCATGGTTCATTGGTCAATGTTAAGTTTTCTTGGTTAAGACTGTTTCTTAGAAACTATAAGCAATAGGTCAACTATGTTTGGTTTATTGAATGATTGTAAGGTGTACATGTATTTCTCATTTGGTTTATCTGACCTTGACCTCATTTTCTTGGATCATGTTAAGTTTATGTGTTACTTGTATTAAAGCTTTATATTTAGGACTATCAACATACAATTAATGGTTAGTAAAGAAAGCGAGACATTTCAGCATGTGCACTCTTGTATTAATCAAACTTTTTTAAAAATTTTATTTCAGACATTTAGAAACAAGATACCAGCAACTTCATGGTAGTATAGACACTAATGCCTTCTGGCCTGGTCACTTACTGGACAAAGTACGACTCTGTATGCCTCCTTATGACAAGCCACATCCTTCATTGAACAGCTCTAATGCTTTGTTTAGGGAGGTTGATAAAAACAGAAGAAGCCATGTTGTTCCTATTAGGGAGAACTCAGCATGGCCTGTTAATGAGTATGGTTTTGTTCAGAATGGCATATATGATCCCTATGCCAGAAAATATTAGACATTTTTAAGCAGAAATTAAATTTCATCAAAACTATTAAAGCATTAAATGCAATTCTGTAAAAAAAAAGATCAGTGCTTTTTACAGTGCACATGTAAAGAAGTTTTTGCCTTTGAGTTTGCTGAGAAGTCAAACTTTTTTTCAAGATGCAGTTTAAATATGCTTCTTTTGCTCTAAATCTACAACTGTTCTATTGCAATGGCAATTTTTTTTCTTTTCATTAGTTGATCAGTTTTACGGATTGATTTCAAATTGTAGTACATAATTTTTTTTAGCCTATAAGCAATCTGAAAGGCCAAAGCTTCTTGCATAAGCACTTCATTCTGTAAGGGAAACAAATATATTGACGTTAAAAGTGCAAAATAAATGGTTAAACTTTATGTAAACTTATTATAATTCATACTTTATGATTATTATTTTCCTACTCTCAAAAAGTATAATTGAAAAACATTCATGGTAAAAACAACCAAGTTTTGGTGTGTTGAGCATAAAAAAGTATTCAATTTAGTTTTATTGTCGAGCCTGCGACTTTTGTCGCAGAAAGCTCGACATAGGGATAGCGATCCGGCGGCGGCGGCGGCGGCGGCGGCGTTAGCTAACTTCTTAAAAGCTTTATATTTTAGAAGATGGAAGACCTGGATGCTTCATACTTTGTATATGGATGCCTCATGTTACGAAGTTTCCGTCAGTCACATGTCCAATGTCCTTGACCTCATTTTCATGGTTCAGTGACTACTTGAAAAAAAAGTTCAGATTTTTTGTAATGTTAAATTCTCTCTTATTATAAGTAATAGGATAACTATATTTGGTATGTGCGTACCTTGCAAGGTCCTCATGCCCGTCAGACAGTTTTCACTTGACCTCGACCTCATTTCATGGATCAGTGAACAAGGTTAAGTTTTCGTGGTCAAGTCCATATCTCAGATACTATAAGCAATAGGTCTAGTATATTCGGTGTATGGAAGGACTGTAAGGTGTACATGTCCAACTGGCAGGTGTCATCTGACCTTGACCTCATTTTCATGGTTCAGTGGTTATAGTTAAGTTTTTGTGTTTTGGTCTGTTTTTCTTATACTGTATGCAATAGGTCTACTATATTTGGTGTATGGAATGATTGTAAGGTGTACATGTCTAGCTGGCAGGTGTCATCTGACCTTGACCTCATTTTCATGGTTCAGTGGTCAAAGTTAAGTTTTTGAGTTTTGGTCTTTCTTTCTAATACTGCATGCAATAGGTCAGCTATATTTGGTGTATGGAATGATTGTAAGGTGTACATGTCTAGCTGACAGGTGTCATCTTACCTTGACCTCATTTTCATGGTTCAGTGGTCAAAGTTAAGTTTTTGAGTTTTGGTCTTTTTTTCTAATACTATATGCAATAGTTCAACTATATTTGGTGTATGGAAATATTTTATGATCTATATGTCAGTCACGCAGGTTTTATTTGACCTTGACCTCATTTTCAAGGTTCATTGCTCAGTGTTAAGTTTTTGTGTTTTCGTCTGTTTTTCTTAAACTATAAGCAATAGGTCAACTATATTTGTTGTATGGAAGAATTGTTAGCTGTACATGCCTGCCTAGCATGGTTCATCTGACCTTGACCTCATTTTCATGGTTCATTGGTCAATGTTTAGTTTACTTGGTTAATGTTAAGTTTATGTGACAGTTGTAATAAAGCTTTATATTTAGGACTATCAACATAATATCAATGATTAGTAAAGAAGGCGAGACATTTCAGCGTGTGCACTCTTGTTTTTTATGTGAGTTAACTAAAATTTACAATGTCGGTGTATTTTTATATTCTTTATTTTGTGATAGTTAAATGAAATATTTGACACTGTGATCATCTGTACCAAGTTATTATACATATAGTTTTTTCATTCATTTATATTTTCTAATGTTTATTTTCCAAAAAAAAATAATTTTAATAGTCAAATTAAAAAAAAGAAAAAGGTTCATTTTTGATACCAGCTTTATCATTATTTAATGATTTATTTATTCATACTTTTTTTAGAATGTTTGTACTGTTGAAATCAATAAAGAATACATGATTGAAGTCTTATACAACAGCAGGGCCAAGTTTTTTTTTCAAGGTTAGAGTCAGGATAGAATTTGAATATATTTTCCTGGCCTGGTTATACACGAAAATTTGTTGTCATCTTATAATTATATACCCTTCTTAAACTTTCGTCAAACTTATTGGGCTGCTTAACGTAGACACCCCCTGACATAAATCTGGATATAAAAAACTTTTGTGTTTATTGCTGACTGGTTTTGTTTGTTACAAAGTAATTACATCAATTGTTTTGATTTGTTTGTTTCATAAACTAAACATGAATAATTTTCAGAGAAATAGATCCAGGAATAAGTTTCACAAAAAATCTTATGACAAAAATTGATCACAACTCAGTATACATACAATCAATTTTTAGTCATAAGATTTTTTGTGAAACTTGTTCCTGAGACAAAACAATGTAAATGGCACCTGGAATTTTTGAAGACAAAAAATTGCATTGGAGGTTTGGAAGATACTAACATTTTGCTTAAAACGAAATTAGTTTATCTGACCTCGATGACCATGACAAGTTTTTACAATTTTTTTTCTTCAAGGGATTCTTTTGATTAATAATCAGGACTTTACTATTAATGAGAAGTCTTTTCTTAAATTGCTTTGCTTTCAGGAATCAATAATAAGCTGTTTGCTCAAAAAGGTTTCTTTAAGTAAATATATTTCAAATACAAGACCAGCAACTATTTTCACAGGTCCAGTAAGTTTGTATGAGAGTCTGGATGGGGGTTTCTTTATTCTTTATCTTTTTTTTTTTTATTCTTTATTCTCTATTCTTTATCTATGTTACCAATTATTTTCTATTCTCTATTTTTTTTTGCCTATTTTTCTCTATTCTAATCTTTATTTTTCCCCCCTTTGTTCTTTTCATTTTGCCCATTATTCTCTATTCTTTAAACCCTATCCAGACCCTCTTGTATGGGATAGATATATGCCATAATATAAATTATATTCTTCCAAATACCTCTGCAATTTTTCTGAGTAGTCCTTTATATTATTTGAACTGTGATATTTGAATATATTTATGTTTCAAGACTTTTAGTCTTTTTAATTTGAAATAAAATACATGAAATTCTCTTATATTTTATTGATGCTGAACAAAGAATATAGTCTGTTCGTTTTTTATAAAGAGTTATCATTTTTTTTGTCTCGTCTAGAATGAGAGGCATAGGGGTTACAATTTGGTGGTAGGGTAAACTTTTTGTATTAACCTTAATATTTCATATGGTAGAAGACCTGGAGTCTTCATACCTTGTATGCAGATGCCTTATGTTACAATGTTTCCATTTGTCATATGTCCATTGTCCTACCTCATTTTCATGGTTCAGCTACTGCTTGAGAAAAATTAAAGATTTTTTTTGTCATGTGAATTTCTCACTTATTATGAGTAATATGATAACTATATTTGGTATATGGGATCCTTGCAAGGTATACATGTCTGTCAGACAGGGTTCACCTCATTTCATGGACCAGTAATCAAGGTTAATGTTATGTGAATAGGTCTGTTTCTCAGATATTGTAAGCAGTAAGTCAACTATATTTGGTGTATGAAATGCTGGTAAGGTGTAAATCTCAGTCTGGCAGGTTTCATCTGACCTAGACCTCATTTTCAAGGTTCATTAGTCAATGTTAAGTTTTTGTGATTTGCTATGTTTTTCTATTGCTATAAGCTGTCACCTAATTTCATGGATCAGTAGTCAAGGTTAATGTTATGCGATTGGGTCCGTTTCTCAGATACTGTAAGTAGTAAGTCAACTATATTTGGTGTAGTGTGAGATGTACAGGTCTGTCTGGCAGGTATCATCTGTCCTGACCTCACTTTCATATTTCATTGCATAATGTTAGTTTCATTAGTTAGGTCCTCTTCTAAGGTATAATAAGCAATAGGTTAACTATAGTTGGTGTATGGAATAATAGTAAGGTGGACATGTCTGTTTGGTTGGGTTCATCTAACCTTGATCTCATTTTTATGGTTCATTGGTTAATTTTAAATTTCCAGGTTAAGTCTGTTTCTTAGATACTATAAGCAATAAGGTCAACTATATTTCATGCATTGAATGATTGTCCGGTGTACATGTCTGTCTAGCAGGGTTCATCTGACTTTGACCTCAATGTCATGGTCCATTGGTCAACATTAAGTTATATGGTTTGATCTATCAGTTGTATTATTGATTTGGTCTGTTTTTCTAATACTATAAGCAATAGGTCAACTATAATTTGATGTATGGAATGATTGTAAGTTGTACATGTCTGACTTGCAGGTTTTATCTGACCTTGACCTTATTTTCATGGTTCAAATATGTTAAGTTTTTGTTGTTTGGTCTGTTTCTCAGATCTATAAGCAATAGGTCAACTATATTTGGTGTATGTAATGATTGTAAAACTCATAAGTCAAAAATAGACTGACACTGCCATGGCAAAAAAAAGACCAAAAAGACAAACAACAGTACACAAAACAAAACATAGAAAAGATAAGACTCAGCAACATGAAACCCACCAAAAACCAAAGGGATCTCAGGTGCTCCAGAAGGGTAAGCAGATCCTGCTCCACATGTATAAGGAGTACATGTCTGACTTGCAGGTTTCCTCTGACCTTGACCTCATTTTTATGGTTCATTGGTCAATGTTAAGTTTTTGTTGTTTGGTCTTTTTCTCAGATACTATAAGCAATAGATCAGATGTATGTGGTGTATGGAATGGTTGTAAGTTGTACACGTCTGTCTGGCAGGTTTTATCTGACCTTTAACTTTTTCATGGTTCATTGGACAATGTCAAGTTTATGTAGTTTGGTCTACTTCTTTATTTAGCACATACTTACAACTTCTCGTCCAATGAAATTGCTTGAATTTGCCTTCTAATTTTCATAGTACATACTTTTTCTGTGTACTAAGTAACTATGCATGAATGACCACAAGGGTAAGATTTCATTGTATTGTAATCAAGATATTAAAACAAAAATTGCCACTGGCTATTTTGAAATAAATGCTG